ATTATGCAGAACATATATATATATTATATGCAAGAGCACATGCAGACTTCTACAAATTTCGCTTTACCTTTACGAGGAACAAAAAATAGCGACACGCATAACAAATATTAGGCTTTTCCTCTACTTAGTGAACGGACGTAATAGGAATCCATTAGTCAGAAATTGAAGGAGTGTCTTCGTCACAGATATTTCCTGTTGTAATATTCTTTGCGGGAGACAATGTACTTTTGTTGTTGTTGTAGAATAATACATAATCATTACATCTTTGATTACACTCGACCACTTCTTCTTCTACTTATTTTTTTTTGTATGTGTTGCAGTTGTAATCTCATTCTTCGACGTCGTTATTTTTTTGTCCACTCTATATGTACATTACATTTTCAATACATGGGATGGATTTGAGAGAAGACAATCCAAATCCAAGGTCACCACCCCTCTTGTTTGAATAATAAGTGCATTCTTTATTTCACAATGTGCATGCATTGTGTATATTGATTACGTTATATAAAAAAAGGAAGAAAGAAAGATTTACATAATGCCTGTTGTTTGAATTCAAATTATAATTGAACAATATAATATTATGGATTAATTAAAAAAAATACAATAGTAAGTTAATACAGCAATAAATCCTCGCATAGTGCGGTTCCGGACTATTTGAAAATGTACTAATTGAGAAATTAAATACATATAAAATTAATCCGAACTATATGATGACAAATCCGATCTTTTATCTATATAAAAAATTATGTACATAGTTTTTATCGGTGGTAATCGCAAGCCCGACAACCGAAATCCCGTCTATCGAAATCCCAACGTTCGAAATTCCGGCTTGCTCAAAATCCCGACTTTCGAAATCCCAACTATATCGAAATCCCGTCTATGTCAAAATTCCGACTACCATAATCCCAACAATCAAAATCCCGACAGTGTCATTTATTATCATAAATTTCTATAATAACATTTTTATGGTAGTCAGGATTTTGATATAGTTGGGATTATGGTAGTCGGGATTTTGATTGTCGGGATTATGGGAATCGGGATTTTGACATAGTTAGTCTTTCGGTTGTCGGGCTTGCGATATAGACCCAGTTTTTATAATTTATTTTGCTTCAAACCGTACTAATCGAAGTAACGTTATGTAAGGTATAGCTGTTCTAATAAAAATAATGAAAAAATGTATTCCAAATCCAAAATTTATTATGTTTTTACTACTTTGTTAAAAAAAAATGTTTTATTGATGAAACACAAACAACCAATTTATATTCTTGAAAATCTTCGTGTGAGGTGGTAACAACCCTCCTAGACTCTTTGTTTTCTCTAAATTTAATCCAAAGCTTAGAACGGGAGATTTATTTTCAGAGAGTAAACATAAACATAGTAAATTTATTTAAAGATATTCAAAGGCTTCTACTAAAGCTTTTTTACTCAGAGATTTAAAAAAAAACATATTGTCTAAAATTGAGCTGTGAGTTATAATTAAAAATAATTTCAATTGGTAAAAGTGAATGTACAAACCACATTTAGTGAATAAAATGCGAGTGGATATATATAGAAATCGAATTATGTAATATAACGTTGATATAATTTCCTGTAAAATTAACGAATAGGAAGGATACGTATCGAAAAAAAAAAATTGATTACGGATGTGAATTTTGTACATTTGAATAATCAATTAAAAAACATATGATTGGTCGTAATAAGCACTTATGTTTCGTGCAATTCCTACGGAAATGCGCTTTTAATTAATGCGCAATCACTAAGTAAATGTCCGGATCGATTATTATGACTTTCTACTGTGCGATTTGTCCGCGATCTGTAACAAAAGTGAAATTGACCTAAACCAATCCAGATCAACATCTGGATTTGGAAATGAAATGAAAAGAAAAAGGTAAAGGGAAAGATCGCAGAAAACGGAAACCGTAATTTTATCACATTTCACCTTTTGCTATTGTAGATTAAGTTCATTTCCATGAGAATTACGCGCGCATTGAGCCCGCAAAGTACAAATGACCATTCTAATTTTATACCATTTTAAGGCTCCAGAACTTCCATTATGCAATCCCGCCAGTTTCCTGCCGCTTATGTTACGTCTGTGCACTTATTTATTTATTTATTTATTTTTCTCTCTTCAGTCAACGTTCTTTGTTTTCGTTCTCAGAAGCAACCAATTTGATCTTTAAAAGCACCAGCAATCCCGTACGAAAGTGAGTTAACGAAGAAGAGGACATTTCACCGCATTGTCCATGCTCATTGGATCGAATTAAATTAGTTCATTTGCGAAAACAATGAGTCAACTTATTAAATTAAAACGATTCACTTGCTCCCATAATTGCATTATTATAAATATACCCAATTTCTTTTCGAAAATAAGAAAGATTAATGATTCAATCAAATAACATTCTCTTTTCTTTATCAAAAACTATTTCGATCGACTCATGAGTTTCAAAGTAAGAGATGAAATATCTGGAATTCTACTAAATATTTAGAAATACCTGGCGCGTTTCTATAAGAAATATTCCCCAGATTCAATCCGAAAATGTGTAAAAGCATTCGAAAGATTTTTAGTTAATAGTACTTTTTTTTTCCTTTACATCTCCCACAAGAAACGATAAGAGAAATTTGAAGCGCATCCAAGAATTGACACAGTAATGGACTTTTCTTATTGATCGTGCTTCGTACAAATGAAGAAAAGAAAAAAAAAAGAGAGAAAAATAAAAATAAGAATGGGAAAGCGGTAGAAAACGAGTGCAATTTAATTAAGGATTCTGCGGACAATCGCAGAAACGATGAAAGTTTCGTTTAGTCATTTTATTATTGTCATTTTCTATTTCTCCTCTCTCTTTTCGCTCTTCCTTTATTAAGCTTAAACTTCTTCTTTTGATTATTCTAATATTAACAACTATAATCGATGCAAACTGCGTCTTTTTTATGTGTTTTTGATGGGTGAGCAGTAAAATTTCGTTATTGGTTCAAGATTTGAATATTTAAATGCATAACCTAATTCTACCTGCAGGTCGTCTTTGTGCAGCAAAAGAAAATAATAAAATTGTTATATTAGGCGATTTTAATCTGTAATTTTGTAGAATTATATCATATATGGAGCATTATGTAGCTCGGAGATGGATTAATGATGATTCGTAAAATATTGTTATTTTGGACTCGATTTTATGTAAAGCTCGCTTATCGTGTTTCCTCGCCTCGTCATTATTTCTTTTCGTTATTTTTTTTTTTTGGGACGAGGTGAAAAGATGGAATGAGGACAATGGGGCAATCTGTCTGTCCTAAGAATATTTCAAGACATATCTTGATGTATTTTGATTCCATCCAAGTTGTACAGTTGTAGATTCGTTGCCACGTCATCTCATACTTTATTTACCTTCTTTCTAAAAAATATTCACTTCTTAAATATTTGACCTATAAAATATACATAACCTTTTGGAGGTTTAATTATGGACGAATTTAACGACTTCAATCATATTAGCAATTTAATTGAAAATTTTATACTTTGTACGTAAATTCAACCTATTTCATTTTACTACTTTCATAAAATTATAATTAATATTGCATCAACAAAAATATAATAAATTTCCAAATTTATAATCATTTTTTTTATATGTTGTCCTCTTGCTATGTTGTAATAAATAATATTTTATTTATTACATCATATTATAATTTCAATCCAATAATAGTACTAAACAATTTATATTCACAGTTTTCAGCTGTTTCTTTAATGACTTTTTACGTAAACATACCGCATTATTATGAATGAAATTCTTTAAAGAATGAATGGATGTGTAGATTTTAGTCCATAAACAACTATTTATCATTGTTAAAAAAACTATTTATATTAGTAATCTAAAAAAATGTAAGCGAAGTATAAATATGTATTTACTAAATTCAAATAATTCTTCAATTTTAATGTATTTTTAGGAATTAAGTTATATAATTAAACACGATAACAATACTAGAACATACAGTGACTAGTTTAAAGGCGACTAAACATTACGGGGTGTTTGCAAAGTACATGAACTTGGATATTTGTATAAATATTTGTTCATAAATAAACGCCTTACAACACCTCTTTCATTTAACAAGTACAAGTAATTTGCTAGAGTTACAAATGACGTGAAACTTAAAATGTATACTTTAATTAATTCTTCAATTATCATTAATAAATTTTATCATCTGAAATGTGTTTTTATTAATTAAAATATATGTGAATATATTTTATTTAATTGAATTGTATTTTTTAAAGGTGCGTACATTTAATACTTATTAAAGACAATTGAAACGTAATTAATGTTTTGTGTGTGGTTACAGCTTTGGTATTGTTTGTTTTAATTGTTAAATTAATGACTTTTGTGTTGAGCAAACATAAGGAAATTCTCAAAAAGGTATTGGAGGAAACGTTGACCTTGATGTTCGGTGTACGTACATACATCAATTAAGTAACGACGGATGCGTAAAACAATGAACGCTGCAATTAAGTTTCATTTTTGGGGGCTTGTTTTGTCTGTAATGCTTTTTTAATGTTGGTGAAGTGAAACAAATATTAATTGATGCTACTAATTTGATGCCTGAAGTCATATGTTTTGATGTTTGGAGGTAGTTAAGTTTTAACATTTAAAAATAGATTTGATATTTTGAGTTAGAGGATTTAATAATTGGAGTTAGAAGATTTGGAGCTTTTGATGATAGAGGATAAGATATTTGGAGATAGGTACATTTAAATTCAATCATTAGAATATGATGTACGAGTGTCTTCTGATTGTGTGCGTCGTATAGTAATCTAGTGTTGGAAGTGCTGTTGGGATAGAGAGGAGATTAGATGCACCCAGAGCAGCATCTACCGTGCATCATACAGCCGTGATCTCTAATTAGAGCTCATCAGAAATTCATTAAGCCTCGGACGACGGTCGACGGAACCGAACGAGTCGCGACCCACACGGTCCCGCACATGGACTCCTTCCTACCTTCCACAATTTACCTGTTGAATTTTCTAAACCAGTAGTTGTTCGTTAGTTCCGAAGACAACACGCGACCCGAGGCCGCGCGGTACCACCGAAACCCAACGCAGCACCCAACGCGCCCGCTCGTACGTACCTGGGCGTCCAATCCGCACATCTCATCCTCCACACATCGAGCTCCAGATCTTTGGAACTTTACCAGCTCATCCGATCGGAACTACCCCACAAAGACAGACCGAGACCATGCAAGAACAGAAAACAAACTATGTTTTGAGCACGGGCTGCGTACGCATCAGATAATTGCAGTGGCATTTCAGTTCAGGCTTTTCCCTCGCCAGTGTTTTTTTACCTCCTCCAGTGCGTGTCTCCTTGCCGCGCTCTGGTACCATCACCGCTCATATGTGCGTTCCATCAATGTTCTACGATTTTTAAAGAGACCCGACATTACAATCGCTTGGATTTTACTGGAAACCCATAAATAAAATTTTAAAACAAACTTTAGTATCAGTGGATTTTAACTTCAATCTTAGATATCGAACCTGCAGATCAAGGTACGTGCGCTAAATATTTATTAACAACATACCCTAATATATTTACCACTTCACACTTAAAGAAAGGGTCAAACCTTTTGTCACCAAATTCTGAATGACTCTTTATCTTAGGATACGTTATCGTCCTGATAACACCTCGGGTCTAAGGAACCGTAAATATTTAGTCGATCCTCTGTTATACTTAGGATTGTTTATCTGCGCATTGTCCCGAGCGGATTATCGCTCGGAATTTAATCCTCGAGCAAATACTCCGGTTTCAATTTTAACATAAGCAAACATTTAATCCAGATCGAAATACTTCGCATACCGTTTTCAAAATAAAGAAGAAGAAAAAGCAAAAAATAAATAAATGCTGCGGAAGCACACGAACTCAAGAGTTGTTATGTTTAGATTCGAGTGGCAAAACGTGAGATAAACAGGAAAGCGTAATCAAGTTTTGAAAGTATGCCTTAGTCGTTTATGTTTGCGAGCAAGAGAGAAAATCTAGTATTTTCTAACTGGAGCAAAGTGTGAGCAGAAAAAAATAAAATAGTATACAGAAAACTGAATTCAGGTACAATAACTTTTGTGTCTGAAAGTTTTTCGGTTGGGGCAGCTGCGAGGATGCATGGAAAAAGGTTTTCTTTTTTTTTTTCTCTCGAAATGAATGTGGAACGGATGCAGAAGTGAGTCGATAAATAAGCGCATTTGGACGTCGTCTTCTAGTGTCGCCCTTTGTGGATTAGGGCCGAATCTCTTCGGGTGATTGTTATTGTTCTTTTTTTTTTTTTAATTTTGTTTGTTTGTTGTTAAGATTGAAGGCACGCCAATGGCTATATCGAAAGAGAAACAGTGTGATGATGTGGGGAAGAAATGCCGACGTGTAAGCAGCAATGTTGTTGCACAAAAGCGAGTGAGCGAGAGGAGAGTTAAGTGTTCGTGAAGTGGTTATGCAGCCTCTTCAATTTACAACTGGGATTTTAATTAAAACACAGTTTATGTAAGGAGATACGTTCTCGCACATTCAATATGATGTGCACAGGCCTCTCTTCTAAATATTTACCATATATTCGAAAGTACGGTTTCGTCTTCGGCTTTTCCTCTCTTCTGCGACTTTCAACAGAATACGTTTTTTTTTTGATATCGTTTTGACAATATTTTGGATGATATTATAATTTGTAAAATATATACACAATATATCTCAAAAGTTCAAGTTTTAGTTTCTGAAAAAAAAAGTTCAGAAGTTTATATTTAAAATAATTAACAATAACTTTGAAAATATTGTGAATAATTGGGATGATTTTTAAACGTATAAGTAGAATTTAAAAAAATTGTTAAAAACTTTATTTCAACTTTAGCAAATTTATCAAAAAATATAATTTTAATTAATTTTTAATTAAATTACCAAAATTTCAAACATGATTAAGTAAGATTTTTCTTAAACTAAATATATTCACATTTTTAAGTACACTGTCAATAATTGAAAGTAATGGATGATTTGATAATTAAATAATTAAATTGATAATTAAATAATTAGAAAAGTTTTATTTATACTTTCTTTAGTTCATTTTGATTCAAGAATTAGTAAAACATTATTTGTAGAGTAAAAAATATTTCTTAGAATAAGTATTTTCAAAGCTATACAGGTAATTCCACGTTATATATGGTTGAGAAACACTGCTATAGTAGTAATGAAAGTACTTTTCCATATTTACATTTTCTTCGATGCACTTTCATTCAAAAAGTCGTAACGTGAAATAAAAGAAAAGGAAAAACCATTATTTACATAGTAAAATGTACTCACTTCCTAGAATGAATATATTAAAAGACTGGTATGCTAAAGTGACATAAATAAACAGCGATGTCATAAAACTTTTTGGAAAAATTTTAGTTTTATTGAAGACTTAAAAAAAAATGTTGTTGCAATTCCAATCGGTTGTTACAAATTTTAAATAGATGTTTAGATTAATTTCAATCGTTTTCAACAACGATATAAACAAAACATGTGTAAAATGCTTCTTGTTTCGTTAATTATTTATAATGAAATTACAATTAAGTTGTTATAATTTGGAGCAATCTCGATGTTAAAACGTTGTACGGAGGCGCAGCAACCTGCTCCAAATAGCATTGTTTTACAAATGAAGCGATTACACAACGGCATTTCGAATCTCGATGGCGGCGTAATCAATTAGTCGAGCAATGGGAAATAGTGTCAAGAACACTTGAAAATGCACCGCGCCGCGAAACACCTCGACGTCTCGAAATTTAATTAATCCTTTCTGCGAGCGAAGAAATTTCCTAATTGCCTATTTCGTATTCGTTTTTCCTTCTTTTTTCTACTTCTTCTTCATCATAGTCTCCTCATCTTGCTCCATTCTTATTCTTCTCCCCCACCGTCGTTCCGCAGAAATTATTACTTGAACCGAAGGTCGCGTAATTGATTATAACCGTAATCTCTAATAACTTTAAATTGCATTTAGTTTAGAGTGATTGCATACTTGCACGTACTTGCATGCCAATTATTGCGTTATGTTCTCTGCTAATTTAAAAGAAAATCAAATCCGTATAGAAAGGGAATTAGCATTTTATGTATTCTAAGAAATCTTTGGTATTACTAAGTAATGATTGTTGTAGTATAAGTATTTTCTTGGAGATATTGTTCTTAAATTGATACAAAACCGCAGGTTTTGTAGTAATGTTTAAATTTGCTTTTAAAGATTAATTAATATAGATAATCTTCTGCACTTTAGCAAATTTTGATACAGTATTAGTAATAATCATCCTAGGAATATCGGCGACATAAGTTGCTTAACTTAATAAAAAATAATTTATATATAAACAGTTATAAATGAGATTCAATAATTAACAGAAAATAGAAATTATGTAACTAATACTAACTTAATATCTCTATTTAAAACTATAAATATCAAACTATCTATCAAATTGAATTAAAATGTTTAGTTTTAGTGGCAAATACAAAACGTTTAGTAAAATTTCATTCAATACTATTATTTTATGTATAATTTACACGGTTAAAGATGTTACCTGACAAATTCAAAAAACGTTTTACAATTTTTTTTTTAATGCGATTCAGAGTAAATTATTTCATTCATAATTCATTCGAATACTGAAGATTAACATCTTCTGAGAAAACAGGGCAGGCTGGTGCGAAATATAGGCATATACGTCTTGATATATAATTCTAAAGTAAACATGGCATAGAACAGGAATGCCAAATCCAGAAGAGGCAACGGCAAGGTTGTAAGTTCCAATTGACAAGAAGTGAAGCAGCGGAACGTCGAGACTAAGATTTTAATTCACCGATACGCACAATTATATAACGTAATGAGCAGCGTCTCACGGTTACAACGAAACAAACTCATTATTATTTTTTAATATCTATTTATTTTACCATACTGAATTCTATTTGGTTCTATTGTTGATTCGGTGCTAATGTTACGTAATTAAAGCAACGTTGATTAATTTCAATGGACGTCATGTATTACGAGAATACACGGATTGTATAATTGGATGAATAACAGTATTTAAGTCAGTTTAACGACCCCATTGAACTCCTCTTACTCACACAGAAATCAACATGTGTAAATCAATTTTCAATTCTTTGTGTATTATTAATTTGATTTTTAAATTAATTTTATTGTTGAACTTCTGATTCATCAGATTACTTCAATGTAAAATTAAATTAAACTTTAGGAACTAAGCTCAAGTATAGCTCAATCAGGATTTCCACAGTTTTGTGAGTTGAATCTTATATCATCACTTTACTTAGATTCCTATGATAAATACACCTGATATTTAAAAAATAAGTGTAAGAATACTTGAAGAATGTGAATTTAATTGATAAAAATAAACATTTAAACTGAATTCACGTTTTTCAATTACACTAAAATAAAAAATAGAAGATTAACATTAGTTTCTTAAATAAATGAATTCTAAAGAATTAGGGAATGTTCAAATGAATTGTAAATAAATATTCGTCAACAGATTTCTAAATATAATGCAGTAGCGACAGATGTATACACGTCAGTCTAAAATTAACGTAAATTTCCGTTGATGACCAAACTTCAAGAGAGAGAGAGATGAAAAAAAAGCGCATTTGGTAATTTGTTTACGTCTGGTTTAGATCGCAGCTGGAAAAATTTACGCAACTTGCATCGATCAATTTTTAGTGAATTTGTTTTTCTTTTAAGTCTATTTTTTCATTCAGTTAATCGTAAACACATCAGATGTTCCTTTGACGAAGACTGATTGAATTTACTCAAAATAATCAATCAAAGTCTATGCCTGTTTGCACAAATTTACAAATGTATAAAAACAATTTTTAGTATTTACATTTTACTTTTAAATTTAGATTAATTTATACAATTCTGATACAATGTTTATCAATTAGAAAGAGAAATTTTGAAGCAAAATTTAATTAGGAAATTAATTACATTTTTAATTGTAAATAGAAATTTGAAGTAGACATAAATAATTACAGAGAGTGAAAATTGAAATTAAAACATGAAAATAGTGATGTTTTTAAAAAAAAATATTACATGCATTTAAAGTGTTAAGATTTTTGGATTGTACAGAAATTATGTTAAATTTATATGTGAAGAGTGGTTGCAGTGCCAAAATTGTTGTGACTCGTAAATATCTGTCTGTCAGGTTTGTTTATGGATCAACTTGTCTCATTACTCTTAATATCTTAATCCTGAGATGAATACGAGTTTACCATAAATTTCCGACACTTTAAAACTCAAGTCATGTGGCATATTAAGAGATCGCATTTCCAAAAAGAAAGAAAAAATAAAAGAAACGCACGAAAGAAAATGTGATGAATAATCCAGCCGCATTAATTTCCACCCTGATTCACCCATTTCAACTAATGCCACTCTCAAATTACATCATTCACAGTTCTTTAAATATTTCAACATTCACTCAAAAAAAAATATGTTTTTGAATTATAGAATCAAGTTTAGTTTTATATTTAGACTCAATTGTTACTGTTATATACT